ATCACAAACTGTCTGAGTCTGTGATCCTGCAGAACAGGGATCACAAACTGTCTGAGTCTGTGATCCTGCAGAACAGGGATCACAAACTGTCTGAGGCGTTCTTCTCCGACAGCGACGAGAGGCTGAATGAGGTATCGTCGAGCTCCGGGGAGGTGTGGTTGAAATCCATCTCTTCAAGTTCAGGAGGTAAGTCTGAAAGCAGAGCCTACAAAGGAAAAACATACCTAATATATGGTATATACACTGCTAGGTGTGGTTTTTGATGTCAGCAGTTGTCGGAACTCAAAATGTCCCTCAGACATTTTTGGAGGTTCCAGGCCCAGGTCAGAAGCATTTGAGACCCTGGCAGGCAGCTGGAAACAGCTGGGATTTTGGGTTTGAACCATGGAATGATTTACCAACCTTGCAGGAAGAACAAGAATCACAAAAGTTTAGATATTAGAGTAGAAGTAGTCACAAAGTAGAGAGAAGAATTTTTGAGTGCTGTACAGGGGGTTTTGGTTTTGTACATGGGAGTCAGAGGGTTTAAGATGGATTTAACAGGGATTTGGGCCTGCCCTGTCCTCCCTCTTTCTTCTTCCTTACCTCCATGTTCTTGGTGATGCTGGCACTCACAGATTGGTTTAGAGTAGAAAAGCACCATTTAATATAGGTAATAGGCATTGGGAAAAACTGTAACCATGTAACATGTAATGTACCATATAAAAGATAGAAAATCACCATTTAATATAGGTAATAGGCACTGGGGAAAAACTGTAACCATGTCACACATAATGTACCATATAAAAGACAGCAGCAGCCCTGGGTGGGAGAGAAGAAGCAGTCGGGGTCAGAGAGGATGTCAGGGTGTGTGTGTGCCTCTGCCTGAGCTGTGAGCAAACCACAGCAGCCCAAGGAGAAAATCTTTTAGATAACTTGCAATAAACTGCCTTGAGACCAAACAACAGAAGACTACTGAGCCTTTCTTTGAAAGCAAAGGTGGGAGGAGTAATTTTTCCACCACACGGAGCCACCCCTGACCTAGGGTGAGCTCCGGCAAGCAGTGATTTAAACAAAGAGTGAGAAAATTATTTGAGATCATAATTTGAGCCTCTGGAGTAAACCCAAGGGAGGGATGCAACACAAAAGGACAAACAGGTATGAAACCTGCTCCAGGATTTACCTGCTGCTGTTCCTTATCATCTGATTTAATTGCAAGTATCAAACTCCGGGTAAACATCTGCAGTTCAAAATATTTCTGTTTGTGGCTCTCCAGCTGGCTCTCGATGAACCTGACTTCTTCATTCTGTGGGGGAACAGAGAGCTCTGGGAATGATCTCAGAACCATGGAATCCTTTAGGCTGGAAAAGTCCCCTAAGGCTGAGCCTAACCATTCCCCAGCACTGACCATGTCCCCAAGTGCCACATCCACGTGTCTGTTAAATCCTTGCAGGGATGGGGACAGGACAAAGCACTGGAATAACCACACCTGAACACCCCTGGGTTAAAACCAAACTATTTTTAGTGACAATGACAACCAAAGCCCAGATCTCTTCCTAGAAGTGATCAGGGGCCGAGAGAAGCGACAGCGAATAAATTCCATTATTGCAGCAGAAGGCTTGACACAAAAAACGGGAAATTACTTGAAAATTCCTCAAAGCTACCACAAATTAAAAGATAACATCCTCCAGTGCAGCTGGTCTTGATGTGGATCAACTGTCAGCTCACCAAGCTCCTCAGGATCCCCTGGCTTACAGAATAAGCAGGAATATCACAGAGTGACAGAACAGTTTGGAAGGGATCTTAAAGATCATTTAGTTCCAACCTCCACAGAGTGGATTAATGGGGCTGGAACCGGATGTAATATATTACAAAGTGAAGAAATATCAATAATTTGTGTGCTTTGGTTAAAAAGGCATTTTCCCAATCAATACTTGCTAATCTCTTAATTAAAAATTCAGATTTGGTAAGTATTTCCATTTATTCTCTTCTCTTCCAAACTTATTGGATCAAAATGCTAAACCTGTTGATCAGTGCAGAGCTAAAATTAATTTTCTCTGGTTATTCACTTTTGCAAATATCATGAAAATCAAACTGTTTATTTAGGTTACAAGATCAAAGGCATTGCTCATTTTTACAGAAGTGCTCTGCTTAATAGCACCAACTCATGAGAGAATAATGAAAAAAAACATGACATGCATGCTCACACTAGCTAGAATTCAGCTTTAGCTGACGTGAAAAGCTGTGACTACACGATGCTCTAAAGGTTTGCAACAAACCTTTAGAAATGGTTGCATTTTTGTTGTTTTTTTTTTCCCAGGAAATTCACTTTTTTTCAGTGAAAGCACTGCTCACCACACTATTCCAGGTGATAACAGCTCTGGGAATGAGAGAGAAATATTTGGGCTGCAATTTTGAAGCTTCTATAAAAAATCAGCTGAGTTCTTCCCTATGGATACTTAGCAGATGCCTGTTTAGCTCTGGATTTTGCCCAGCCCAGGAAGAATTGAGGTTTAGGCAGAAAACTCAGGGAGCAATCAGTGCTGTCACACAAAGCCCTGGCTCTGCAGGGCACTGTCACAACAAGCCTCTCACTGCACTGACAGGTGACATTAAGAAAAGGTCATTCCCTCTCTGATTCATTCTCCACTGCCCTTCCCAGGAAAACACTGCTGGAAGGAGGAATTTCTGTTCTGAAGAGATGATCTGTTTATTATTTTGCTTATTGATTATTATCAGGAGAACAGACCTGGTTTCTAAGGGGAAAAAAATCAGCAATGGAGGTAAAAGCCCAAGGAAAGGTGGAATTGTGGCGACTCCTGGGAGAGCAGCACAGACACAACCCTCAGCAGGAGCTGGCAGGATCCAAGTGCTTCTCCTCCTCCCACAGCCACCACTCCCAGACATGTCCTGGGGAATGCCTTCTCCTCAGATCCCCCCATTCCAGCAGAGGATTTCTTCCAGCTGTTCAGTGCCCACCACGCTGCAGGAAAAGCCTCGCAGCATTCCAAGAACAATTCTGCTGGAATGACTCCATAAATCCCTTTGTTGGGACACATGGAGGGAGCTGCAGCTCTGTAGAAATGGGGTTTTCAAGGGGATGCTGATCCAAAGGACTCTTCCAAATGAATAAATATGGACGTTTTACCTAATTGACAAAAATCTGGGGAGCTTTTTATACTGAGTTTCTAAAGATACCTTAAGCACAGTGTTAAGGCCAAGCTTAACACTGACTAAAACTCAGAAATACAACCCATTTGGGTTGAAACATGGGAAAAGGTGGGATGAGGGCATGATGTGCACGCTGGGAAAACAGAAGAGGAGCTCAGGATCCCACAGGCTTTTGCTGAATTCCTGACAGGTCCACCCCCTGAACTCCCTGGGGATTATCCCACTGTCCCTAACATGGCCTAATCACTCACCTTGTAATCCAAAAGAGAACTCATCTGATCCACTTCAGAATTGCTGATCAGATCACTCTCCTCATCATCCAAAATTTCTATTTTCTGAAATAGAAACAGACAGTCCATTCCAACATACAGAGGAGACAAACAAATGGGGATCCACATCCCAAAGGAGCAGGAGGGAGGAAGGAGGAAGGGAAGGGTGAAGGATGAAGGAGGAAGGATGAAGGAGGAAGGAAGGAAGGAGAGCTCTGTGCTGGCTCCTGAGCCGTTCTGAGCAGTGCAGCCCCATTAGATGGCAATCATGCACCTCAGCCAGGAGATCCAGCAGGAATCCAGTGGGAGCTGCTGCCATGGAGACTTGGGCTGTTTACAGAGGAGGAGCTCCCTGGCCCAGCTTTTTGACTTGAAGTTGCACATTTATCTGCTCTGCTCTGTTGGTGTAAAGGAGGGTCTGGACATTTGTCCCTCTGGATAAACCAGCCATCACAGCAAATCCTGAGCTACTCCTGGCCTAAAGAAATCAAAGAGTTCTCCTCTGACCCTCCCTGGCCACAGTGCAAGGGAAATGCCCTTAGCTGTAGGGGTGCTGATCCAAAGGACACTTCCAAATGCACAAATTTTCACCTAATTCACAAAAATTTGGGGAGCTTTTTATACTGGGTTTCTAAAGCTACCTAAAGCAGTGTTAAGGCCAAGATTAACACTGACTAAGACTCAAAAATATGTCCCAAGTTTTTTACCTGTTTTTAATTGTTTTGACAGTTGTGAACATTTATGAACCTCTCCACAATAAGTTAAAGATATTTTCCTATTTTTTAGGATGGTGGTTAACCCAGTGTAGGGAAGGGCCACCACTGACCCAATCCATGTCCATGGGTTATTCCTGAGGTGCTAATTCAGGTTTTTCCTGCAGCATGTGGTCCCTCCTGCCTGCACACCAGGAATTTCCCTGAAATCACTGAGGAAAAATCCTTCCAGGGGCATTCCCAGCTCTCCCTGGCAGACTCACCAAGCTCCCAAGCCTTGTGCTGAAGGCAGGGAGGATAAAGAACATTTGGTGTGCTCCAGTGTCTGCCAGCCCAGCTGAAGTGACAACAGCTCAGAGCTTTGAAGTCCCCAAGTTCTGCTGCTGCATCAAACCCTCAGGAACACTGGGACTCAAATATTTTTGGTTTCAGACTCAGCTTGAGGGAAGAGTCTCTACAGAACTGCCAAACATTCACATTCCCCTTCTCAGACACACTTTTTAAGATAGGAGGGGAAGAAACAGATTAGAATTTCAAATAGGAAAACCCTATCTCTTATGCAAATACAATGTATTTTAATCCAATTTTAAGTGCATTTAAAAAAAGTTTTGTTACAGTGTTTCAGAAAAAAGTATGCAGAAACTCTTCCTTGGGTTTGTTCCACTGCTGTCTCAAATGACAAAATCTGGGGTTCAGGCACGTTGGGGAGCTGAGTCTCTTGGGCACCATCTCTCCAAGCCATTTCTATTGAAGGTTTGAGGGTTTTTCCTGCTGTGTTTTAGAACTTTTAGTACAGTTTTGAAGCTCAAATAGGAAGGTCTTTTAACACACACAACTGAAGTTGTCACCTAGTGAAAAACACAAGTGCTGGACAACAACCTCAACATTAATTAAGGAGTTATTAATTGGTGGAAAAGGCAAGGTAAACATACCACATTATCAGTGGAAACTGGATTCTGGTCATCGTCTTTGTGGCCAATTTCTTCATTTTGAAGAGCTTCATTTGTCTCTTCTGCAGAAATAAATTGGTTTTGTCAGATTTCATTCCAATTTTATGCTGAAGGACCATTAATGGTGTTTACCACTAAATGTCACAGCTGCTAAATCCAACAGCAAAGTCATCGTATCAATGTCTAAGCATAAACAGAATATCTGCCTTATTAAAAAGACCTCCTGTCACAAGCATTTCAGGCCAACATCAAACCAACTGCCACCTGAAACAACAACAAAACTCTCAGTTATTCTCTGCACCAAAACCTTCCCATTTTTAGGTTCAGGTTGGTATATTCAAAGGTGAAGAGTTTCACATCAGAGATGTGCAGAAGACAGGGTTTTTTAAAATAAAAATTAATTCCTACATGAAAAATCCTGCATTCCCTGAAATTCTGGGGTACATATCTAAATCCCCCTTCCCCCTTCCAGATACTGATGGGTTTTGAACCAAAAACTGATCAGATTATGGCAGATGCTTATCCCCAGTGAACCTGAAGTGCTTTTTTATGTATAAACACTTGAAAGCAGAGATTTTACCCTGGTATTTCAACCACAAAGCACGAGATGATTCCACTGACCTTAAAGGCCAAGGAGAACCCAAAACCCAAAGAAAGGTCAGTCTATTTACTCCTAAAATTGAAGTTTGTTTCTCATATTTACTTGGCTTCTGCATATTAAAATATAAACCTATGATACATATTAAATATAAAGAGGAAAAGAAGGAATGGGCAGCAAGGTTCAGGTAATTCCAGGGTCTGTCACCTCCACTCAAACACAGGGAAACCAGGATTTCCCTGGGATTACCAAAGACAGGGTAATGTTTAGGCCAACCATAGAGAGCCAGTTAAGGGTTTTAAACAAATTTTAAGCTAAAAATCTCTAAACTGAGCAAATTTGATTGGGAATTGTTTCAAATGAACTCCATGTGGCAGCTCCATAGGACAGTTCATGCCAGGAGCACACGGGATCAAAGGGGAGCAAGGAAGGGTGGAGGTCACTGGGTGAGGTCCCTCCTCAGGGACATCCCAGGGCACCAGGAACTCTGCAACCCTGGCAGTCACCCCTTGGATTCAACAGCTGAAGGAAGCAGCTCCCTACAGCAACTCCTTAAATATTCATCCTCAGCTCACAGAACCAGCACAGCCCTAATGGCCTCCACCGACACACTGTGGATTCAATTAACACACAATTAAAAAAGGTGAGGCTATATGAGAGCATTAATGATCTATTTGGCATTAAAGCACAACTTATTTTTTTATATTTACACACTATATTTTAAAAGCAGAAGCCATCAACTTTAATTACTCTAATTAAGTGACCAAAATTTGCTTTTGTCTGTCCTTCAAAGTGGTTTTTTTTGCTGTTGTTCTTTTGGTTTTTTAATAAATTTGGACCAAATGTTACAAGTTCTCAAACATTAGAACAGTTCCCTATCTGTGACTGAACATAACCCATGAGTATTGGGGGAAATATTTTCCTGGAAGTCCAAAACCAGCTGAGCTGCAGCAGTGAAACCTCCTCCTTTGAACTGGAGAAATGAACAGAAATAATTGTAGTGGGAGAACAAAGTAATGAAGGTGGGATTCGTGGATGCTGTGAAAATCCTGTTTCCTTGCACCTCCTTAGGTTTTGACACTAATAATGCACCCAAGTGTTCAGCCTCACCTTGCCTGATGAAAGCCTGGCTCAACCAACACAGAGTTATTCCTCACTTGAGCTACAGACACTTCAGACTTCCCTGTCACCGTTTTCTCTCAAGCAGATCTGACTTAAATCAGCTCCTTCCACACCTCAGGCAAATCAAGGACTCTGAGATTCCTCATCTCACTTGGCTTTCAATCACTTGACCCATTTCTTCACCATCTTATTCCCTCTACAGTCGAGTATGACAAAGCTCTCCAAACTCATTCCCAGCCGCCTCCGTTCCCCTGGCTCTTCCCTTTAAACTGTGCTGAGGAAATGACAGGATCAGGCCTGGCACACTGAGCTGCCGAGCAGCAGGCCCGAGGTCAGACTCTCTTTTAGCTTGGAGAGCAAAGGCTGCATTGATCTCCTCTAAGCAGAAGCACTGGGAGCAATTAGTGAGTGGGGGATGTGCTGGACTCATGGACAGGAGGGGCAGGCAGACATCGATCCCATGTGCTCCTGGGAGGGAGGAGGGAATTCAGTTGAAGGCACTTCTCACTCCAGATCCTGCAGTTTACTGAGGACACCCCCTGTGTGTGCAGCTCCAAGGCTCCTGGGCTGTGCCCTGCCTCTGACTTTGATCTGCTGGTTGTGTTTGCCTGTCAGACACAGCAGCGGGAGGCCTGGGCAGCTCCTTGTTCCAGCCTGAGCTGAGGGGCTCCCTGCCAGGAGAAATGGGAATGCACAGTCCCAGCAGCTCTGCTCAGCCCCAGCAGCAGCTCCAGCCCCACCAGTGCTTGGGGTGGCTCAGGATCACAGGGATGGAAATGTGGAATCATGGGTTGGGATGGCAGGGACCTTAAAGCTCATCCAGTGCCACCCCCTGCCAGGACAGGGACACCTTCCACTGTCCCAGAGTGCTCCCAGCACTGTCCAGCCTGGCCTTGGGCACCTCCAGGGATGGGATGTCAAATGGAATGGCCATTCCAGGTGGCTGGGAAGAACTGAGCAGTTGGCAGAGAGCATTTTTGAAATCTGGCTTCCTTGGGAAGAGAGGCTTCCCCACCTGTACTGGCTGCCCAACTCACACTTGCACCAGCAAAATATGAATTCTTGACTTCATTTCAGATGAATCTGGCAGAAACTGGGCTCTTATGACCAAAGGTTTCTCCAATCTTTGTACAACAAACCCAACAAAACTCAGAGACACAGAGGTAGAAGAAAGAGACCAAACAGTACCTTCAGCCCAGGCGGGGTGGAGCACTTGTGACTCTGTCAGACGTTTTTGAATGTGTACAACAGAATCCAAAGCATGCACACTGCACAAAATTGAAAATATAGGCACAGTAGTAACTGCATTCCAAATACCTTGTGAGCTTCCTTCAGATAAGCAGATTGATACTTCATCATTCCTATCATTATCATCCCCCACTTCAGTAGCAGTTTCCTCTCCTGGATTAAGTGCTGATTTAGAAACAAATTCAGATTGATCAGAGAAATCAGCAGGACCTCCTCTAGGGGGTGGGACCTCAATCCCCATTAAACGATATTTCCGTCTTCGATTCCCAATCCAAGTCTTGTAAGAGAAATAAACATGAATGATATCAGAAACTATAACAAAAGCAACAGGCCCCCAACCAAGTGACATCAGCACATCTGAGCTACAGGAGCAGGGGTGCAGCCAGCAGTTCAGGGAGCTGAGTATTCCCCAGTATTGCACCCTCCTGAGGCTGCTTCCCAAAATCCTGTGCCCAGGTTCAGCTTTCCATGGGAAACAGGAAGGTGCACAGCAAAAGAAGCAATAGGTACACATGGCAGCAAGGAAAGCGCTGATTGGAATTGAGAATATAATAGAAAAAAATAATGCTTTGCAGTGAGGCAGAGGGACAATTTGTCCATAGAAGCCTTGGTAGCTCCAGCCTTGGAGGTACCAAACATTTTACTGAATAACATCCTGAGAAACCTGCTCAATTCCAAAATCCTGCTCCAGATAAAGAGCAGGACTAGGTGACTTTGTAAGGTCTCTGCCTCCCTAAATTATTCAACAAATTTAAAATAAGGTCTTTGATCCAGGTTCTCCTACTCTGCAACTTCCAAAAGGGGCTGAAGCATCCGATGACCCAAACATCTCCACTGTTCTAGGATTTCCTACAGCACAGAGGGAACTGGCCAAGGTGACAGATCTACAGCACTCCCCTTGGAGGACAGAAAGGAACTTGGAAAAATAAAACTCAGAGCAGATCATCCTTCAGTCCCCTTTGGCTGTAAAACAGAGCTTTAGGAAAAGTTGTTTACAGTGAGTGCAGAGGAGCACACTGGGAACAGTTTTGGAGATGAAATCAGCCCAGGGAACCTGCAAACCCTGCCATGGTGGGATGGAGATGGATGCTTTAAGTTCATTTTACATAATAAAATTGAATTTAAAAGGAGAGAAAAAAAAAGATCCATATTCTAAATTCTCCAAGTGGATCTGTACACCTGGTCATTAATTTGCCTTCTCTGATGAAGAAACACCTACACTAAAAAGATTCAGTTTAACATGGTGTAACAAGAATTGTCTACAACTCCTGCTCAGCAGCCACTGTACCCCAGACCCTGCATTCCATCAAATAAGTTCTCCACTGGAACTCAAAAATCCTTCCCAGAGCCAGGAATCCACTTTTTACCAACTGCTACTCCCACTGTTCATGGGCTGGCTCTCATCCCCCTTCTCACCATGTACACCCCCAGAAACAGGAGCAGCAGTTCCTGGGTTTGCAAACATGATCAGGCCATGGCAAAATCCACATCCTTTCCATGAGGCCTCTGTTCCAAATGAGTATCCCAAGACATTAAAATGTTTAGTATTTTCTTTAAGGACACACTAAACATCACTCTGGCCTTATTTGGGAAATACCTGCCCTGTTCCTCTTCCTAGGCTTCTGAGAAAGTTGAATAAAAAACTTTTTGTTCATAATACCTTGATTACCAAAGAGAAAAAGTGAAGGAATTTTAACAGCAGTCCCAACTACTAAACACAGTTTTATACTGTGCCAGCCTTGGGAAAAAAAAAAAAACAAAAACCTTTTAAAGCTGCATCTCTAACAAGCTAAAATATAACATGCTGAACACTATTTTTAGCAAATCTTTTTTGTTGGCTGGTATTTGCTTTCCCAGCTTGCTGATTTTCCTCTTTGAAGAATACACAACAGGTATGCAGAGAACTACCACCTGGATAATTTTTTTCTATTACCTACAGTTTGGGGGAAAAAAATAAAGAAAACCCCCACACAAGCAGCCCTTTGAGATCTGTGTCTCTTTTTTTCCAAGCTGTGTATTGCCATTCTTTAAATTTTCCCATCATCTTGTGATTTTAACAAACAGCGTTAACAAAATTTAAAACTGAATTGATCTCTTTTTTAGCAAAAAAGGCAGATCTTTTCACAGACTTTTCAAAGCAGAAAATCTTTCATTCAACATACTGAGAATGTCAGAGAAGATGAACATGTTTTGATAGTGTCTCAAATTAAATGGGGAAGAGAAGGTTCCACATCCTGTGTGCTGTGCTGAACAGAGAACATTCTGGAACAGCAAAACGGTGAGGGCAAGAGCAGACTGGAATTGCCATGTGGGAAATCAGCCTGAGAGTTCTATCCCTAAAATACACCCTCCTTAAACACTTCCAGCAAGGTCTGTGAGTGCATGGGATCATTTGTCATCTGTTCTGGTGCAGGTGATGCCAGAGCCTTCCAGGGTGTCCTGGTCTCTGCCCTAAGGACAGAAACATCCCAGCAGGTAGAAAGTGTCACACAGTGTCACCCCCTGTGTGCCAATGAGGATGTCCCCAAGGGAACAAACCAAGGGAGCCTGGGTGTCACTGTGCTGTCCAGGAGGTGCTCTCAGGGGGAACAGCTTCACCTTTCAGAGAGCAAAGGGAAGTCCTTGGAAAACAAGGAGCAGCTTTGCTCTATACAGAGGAAAGAGTGATTCTCTTCAGCCTCCAAAAGTACAGTTGGGTTTTTTGGAATTCCTGTGTGCCCACAAAAATAAATAACCAGATTGGTGTTCAACCCTAAAGCAGCTTTGGGACCATGTGGATGCACCAAGCCAAAGGTCTGCACAACAGGAGAGTTTCACAAGGGCTCTCAGCCCTGCTTCTGCAGCAGTGTCAGGAATTTATGAAACAGGTGCAAAAAGAGGATGAAGCCTGAAAGGAATAATCCCAATTGTCACTCCTGTCACGAGGGAAAGGAAGGCTCCTGTCCATGTGGAAACAGTGGTGCCATTTCCTGAGGCTGGGATGAGCAAGGAGACCCCAGAGGTGCTGCTGGGTGTCTGCTCATCCAGGACACACTCACACAACAGCCCAGCCTCTGGAGGAGATGATGTGCAGAGGTTCTTGGGAGCCAGATTACCTTCAGCACACCTGTGCCTCCCTCAGCCACCTACAGCAACCATCAAACTTCTTCCATCACATCTCAACCTGCCCTCAAGACAGTCTTGTAAAATATTTTTTTTCTATTCTGGAGCATTTTCTTTCATACAATTTTCCCTATAAGCATGAACGAGAAGTATTTTCCCTATATCTTTGGAAAAGCCCTTTTTTGGTATCTTATTAGCAATATAAATAGTACCTTTCAGTCTTCTAGGATCTCCCTCAAAAATGTAACACTTTTACTTAAAATCTTACTCAAGAGAATGTCAAACAGCTCCTAGTGCTGCTTCTGCTGCTGATCAATAAGACCCTGACCTGAGGGCTTTTACTAAATATAGACTGCAGAAAGAGCAGGAGAGCACTTCCCAACATGGTCATTCATTATGTAATATGTGAAATCTATTTCAAGCTTCCTCATGAAATTTTTAAAGCCTTTCATCTGTCCTATTTTTGCTCCTGCGACAAGATAAGGGAAGACTCTGGATTTCTTACCCGAACTATTTCACAGTCAACATTTAATTCTGCAGCCACAGCTTCAATTTTCTCTCTGCAGACTGAGCCCAGGCTGGTCATGCCATTGTCCCAGTATTTCTTTAGGGTAGCTAAGTCTCGGTCACTAAATTGTGTGCGGTCCTGTAACTGCAAGATAAAAAAAAAATACTGTTAGATTGAAAAAAAATCTGCTTATCCTGAGCATTCATGTCCAGAGGTCTCCCCCACAGTCACACACACATTCTTCTGTATACATGGCTCTTCTTCTCTTTTAAGAGTCCCTTAAGAATTTGGTTTGTTTTTTTTTCTAATCCAGGGCACTTCAGAATTCCCTGGGATTCACTGTAAAGGCAGTGGCAGCATTAACACAAGTTTAAGGCACTTCAGCTTTGTTTCTACTACACCTGATTTCTTTAGTAATTTGTTTTATCTCATTCTATAATGCCTTACTGAAAATAACTTTTTTCCCCCTTGTGCTATTTACTCTCTCCACCCAATTTATGCAAATTAGTCCTTAAAGGCTTTTCAAGTTTCTCACCCTCCCCCCTTAAAGTTCTTTTATCTTACTGACAACTACAACACATGCATAATTCAAAGGATTCTGACTTCCTAAAGGGAATACTTTAATGTTTATGTGGTGAGCTTGAGTTTAAATTGGTTCCACTGTTTATCTGTGTGTTCCCAAACTCTTGGTCTACATTTATTAAAACGTGATAGTGGATCAGTGATAAAAGGAGTAACACCGAAAAAGAATTCCTAAACATCTTACCACTGTTTAAACTGGTGTGAGTGCAGAAAGTATTTCCCTAGTAAAGCTTCCAAGCTTTATCAAAACCTTTTCACATAGAATTTTATCTAAAACCTACAGTTTCATTACGCCAACACATGTTTTTCACTTCTCCTGCTATTCAGAGGTCAGAAAACCAACCACAAAGTGCACTGGTAACTTGTAGCCCATGTGCCACATGTGTCATTATTTCAGTAACTCCACTGGGTTCATGATTTCAATAGCTGAATTCTGTGTTTGCTCCTTTAACTGTTCAAATTTAGAAAGAAATAATTTTAAGTGGAATAAAAAGTAATTTTACAGAACCAGGACCATTTGCCAATCTTGTACAGTTCCCAGTTCTAGCTTTTGTTAATCTTCAGACTATTGTAATTGTTGCAATTTTCTTCTCTTAAAAAATACTATTTCTCAAAATGTTAGAAGCACTTGAGTCTCCTCAATGTAGGAACATAAAAGAGGGGCACCAAACCTTTGTCTTCCTAAAGTAATTCCAGTAAAAAGATGCACCAGATAAATTCACATCCCTGACTGCTCAGGGCCACCTCACCTCCCAAAGGACACTGGGTGTTTTTAAACATAAGTAATTAACACTGCCTGCAGCTCCTGCAGAGCCCTGCAGTCCTCGCAGTAATTCAGAGCTCCCTGTGATCAGTGCAGCACACAAAAACCCCTCACATTTAACATCCACAGCCTCAACCCCCCTGGAATATTCACATTTGCCCTCCCAGGTGAAATTCTCTCATTTCAGCCCATTCACTTGAGTGTTGTACTCAACAATCCCTGCAGGGTCCCTTTCCAGCTCAGAAGAGTCTGTGGAATTCCGTGGAGCACAGGGAATGTGTCAGGTGTAACAGCACAGGTAAGGGGGAACCTGGCTCAGGTTGTCTTCTCCCACCCCGGTGGTTGCATTGGCCAAATTAGAACAAAACCCAAAGAAAGTCCAGCTGCTGTGGAGGAAGCTCAGGTTTCTTCTTGCCACGTGGTTTTCCAGTTATTCAGAAATGCTTCCTCTCCTGAAAGAACCCAGGGCAAGGCCTGGGTATTAGAAAAAGTGATCTGCAAGAGGATCCTGCCTTGGACTAAAGACACCCAGATCCTGCCTTGAGCTCCCCAAGAGATGGTGCTCAGGAAGGTGCAGAGCCTGCTCAGCTTCTACTTACTCAAAACAAGGACTTTACATGGAAAAAGCAGAATTTAGCAAAAGCACCTGCCTTCAAAAATTTTCCTTAAAAAGCAGAGTCAGGTCTTTTCCATTTTAGTGGATAAATGCTAATTCTGATGACTTACTGCAAATGTTTCAATAAAAATCTTATTAGATACATCACAATTCAATGGTTTCCACCTCACAACTGCTGTATAATTATGTTAATATAATTTATATTTTCTACTTTGGGGTCTCTGTCTCATTTTGGCCATTTTGTTCTGCCAAGGCCAGCACTGTGCTCTGCCAAGTGAGCAGCTCTGTGGGATCTCAGAGATCCTGAAGGATCATCATTTATACACCCTGCTCTCAATTGCTGCACCAGCATCATGGGATCAGTGTCAGTCCTTAAGCTCAGTAGATGTAAATGACACTTGAGCATGTCCAAATCTCAGCTCCAGATTAGCTGCCTTCGTGTTACACACTGTGCCATGAGCCTTATCAGCACTTTCTTAGGGAAATCACAAACTACCTTCAGTTACAGGATCATCCCCTCAACATGGATCATACCCGAGTTTGCCTTCTGCATTATAAACTGCTTAAAAATTACATAATGACTTTTGTCAGAAAATAAAGGATAACATGTTAACTAAGCTTCCATCAATTTAGTTAATAACCTTCTCAGGCTCATTTATCATCAGAGGAAATGAAGGACCAAGAGGAAAGCCTCAGAGCCCTACATATATCATAACATTCATCATTATAGGGAAAAATATCAAAAGATAATATTGGAAAGCTTCATATTGATGACAATACTTAAAGGTGAAGGCAAGCCAGTAATTCAGTTCTTATTTTTTACATCATTAACTCAGCTCTGAATGCAATTCTCATTTCCTCTCTTCAGATACCCAGCTTGCTGATTCAAGGCTTGGCTTTGACAGTGCTGGCTGTTGGCTGAATCCTTTGCATTTCCCACTTCTGCTGGTCACAGTTTAAAAAGCAGCAGAGGCTCTGTCCAGCAGGATCCAGCCTATGCACCCCGAAGGAATAAAAGCAAATTGAATCAGCAGTTGTGCTGTGTGCAGGGTTAAACCCGGCTTATCCCCGACCTCCCAAGTGGAACAACAACATCCTTGGAGGAGATGACCCAGTTTATCAGAGACATTCCTGGCTCTTTGCCAGCCCCTCATCCCCCCCACCGTGCAGCAATTGCTGTGGTGCAAATCCGGTGTCTATAATTGGGGTGAATAATTGCACGCAGTGGAGTGTCCTTATCCTGCCTTTGCTCAGAGCCTGCGTTTTCACATCGGCTTTTAGGCAGCACTTGAAAATGTTTCAGGCCACGTGCACAAAAGCTATACACAAATTCCAGATTATCAATCAAAGACATGCTAAAAAATGGAAGAATTAGAGGTTTTATACATAACTTACATTTATGCTGCAGCTGAGCACTGCGTGTGGCGTTCATTTCAATTGCAGTGAAATCATATTAAATCAACATTCAGTTCTGATACTTGGTGATGAAATGGGCTGAGGTAATGCTTATTTTTGGCAAATAAACCTCTCACAAACAAATTTTCCATGCCTTTGATCCCTGTCACTGCTTCTCAGTTATATTTTGGGAGGAATGGGAGGATCAAAAGCACTTAAAAGTATTCAAGGTATGAACAAACCCCAGATTCTTCAGTACAAGAACAGTGTCATTTTGCCTTATTCACGTTTCCCAGTGACGCCAGCATGGACCTCTCTGAACCCTGACACTCATTAATATCTCTTTTCTTCAGAAGATTATCAATTTCCACCTCAGGATCTTATTTGTATGTATCAACAGTGATTTCTGAATCATTCCAGTATGTTTCTCCCTTCCCCACCTGCACCATTTAATATCATTCTTGCTTTTCAGTTTATTATCTCTGGATTTCCCACATACAAATTCTGAAGGTATGCATTTTCCCTTAACACACCAAGGTATTTAACCTCATTAAAGCTGTTCCAGATTATACATTCCTTCAGCCAGAGGTTTCAGTTTCAGGTTTCACCAGTGCCACAAAGCTGCCCCCTGTCAGTGACAGGCATCCTGAGCTTGGGCTGGACACAGCTGCTCACACACATCTGCACAAATTCAGGCACAAAGGTTTCTGGAGGAACCCTTCCATTCCTCCTGCTCACCACCGGTAGGCTTCTGCAGCAGAGACTTTTTGCATCTTTCCCTACTGGCTGGGTAAGCATGAAGTTTGCTCTGATGAAAGTAGAACTGATAAATATTTCATAGCACCCCATTGTGAGAAGAGCTGTAACTGCTTCTGCATGCAGGCAAAATTACAGATATTCTGTTAATATCTGTTTCTAAATCAAACTCAACTAAAAAGATGTTAAAAAAAAAAGAGATAGCAATGCAATGAACAGTCTAGCAAAGAAATTACACTCTGAGCCCCAGTCATCTCACTCTAATTTCCAAACCAACCCTCAAACCACACAAACTGACAATTCACCCTTCTGGAGATTTTGAGCTGATCTGTGTAATAGTGGATGTTCAGCCTCAAAGTAAACTTATTTTTAGATTTTTCATTATGATTCTTACTTGATTTATCAATGTATTCCTCACATTGGACCAGAAAGTTTTGCAGTTCCTGTTCAGACAGCACGCATTCCTTGCCTGCAGGTTCACAGCAGACAACAAGCCAGGGTGATTTGTGGCACTGAGTGCAGCACATCACGTAATAAAAAATGACCAGACTTGTCCCCCTTTGCATTCCTACAGCTCTGCTGGGGGACAAGGAGGAACTCTTCCCTGCCAGAAGGCCACGCTATGGATGGTTTAGCAAAGCAGAAATACCTTGAGATACGTAGTAAAGTACCTCACAAAGGAGGAAACACTCCAGTCAGTTTTGCAAATGGCACAAAGCAGGAACAAGGCCAGTGTCCCCATGCAGACACGTCCACCTGGGCTCAGCTCCCACTGCAGACCCCGACTGGCTCACTCAGACACGCTCCCACTGACTTGACTGAGCCACAGCTTTCTCCCCTCCTGGGAGAGCAGAGAAGGTGGAGAAAACTCCCCAGGTTCCTCCTGGAATAGTTTTAAAACAAAAGGCAGAGCTGAGGTGCCCTCTGACTGCAGGAGCTTTAATCCCTGCCGGAGTTTCTCTGTGAAGTTGCTCTGAGGTGCTCTCAGCTCACGTTGGCTCTCCTGAGCCTCGGGAGGAGCTTTCTTCAGAGTTGTACTGACATGTCTCCCCCACAAAATCCAGCTGTGTTCTCATGCCCAGAACAGCTGGGGGCAAGTGTCACACCTCAGTCCCTCCACCTGCCCAAAGTGTGCCTGAACTTCTGTGACGGACTTTTATTCAAACAGCGAATGTGCAGTGATACAAAAATCAAAATCTAGCACTCTCCACCCATTTCAGGTCTTTCCTGCCCCCAAATACATCAGTCTGAGAGCCCAGACACCCCAAAGTGAAGCTCAGGGCAGACAAGCCTCCTCTCTCCCCAAAAATGAAACTTCACCACTAAGGCCCAGCTTACCCAGAGCCACCACCTGTGTGCCAAATGTTCTCCAGAGCACACCAGTACTTTTAAATCTACCAAAAACACAACCCATTCTGCTCAGACCTCAGACGACACAGAACTGAAGCACAGTCAGTACACTCAAGACTTAACAGAAGGGAAGATATTTTCTCCCTTTTATTCTCCTTAACTGGTACCTTCACTGCTATTTTTGAATCCTTGTTATCCTTCCACCACCCTGTGAAAAACCAAAAATCAATGCATTCATAAAGGCCACTGCACATGCACCAAGACAGAACACAGAACTCTGCCATTTCCAAAGACACTCTCATGAGTTACTGAGAGGGTGATATTTCTAGACTAATATTCATTAACAATCAGGATTACATCATCCTACAGCAGAGCTGAGCAGACAAGAAAGAGTTTCTGCAGAACTGCACAGCTTTTATTTCTCTCCTGATACAGTTGAAGGACAGGGCAAGGGAAACAAAACATCAAGGCAGAAGATTAAAAATTCAGAGCATCTAAAAGACAATCTTCTCAATTTTAACCAAAATACAGATTAGCCTTTTTCCTGTTTGAATGGCAGTAATTGCCATAATGGCACTTCTACAACTCTATCCATTCTATTTCTGTTCCCTCACACTCTTTATTCAAAAGAATTTCACAGTTGTAATCAAAGTTTCTAGGAAGTAGGAGCTTTTTCTCCTTTGCTTGTCTTACCCTGTGTGTACACAGCAGTTTCAGAGTGCCAAGTCCTCAACTTGCCCCCCGGAGGGGGCTGATTCTGCACTCAGACTGGGAAAGTCCATCCACAAATCTGGACACAGATGTTGTCAAACAGATTGTATTAACCAATGGGTTTTATGCATTTTATTGATTAAAAGGACAATTGGGTAAAAGTCTAAGAAAAAAGAATTCTCTAATTAATCTAACTCACCCAAGGCAAACAGAAGTGACATTTTCAAAAATGCATTTTTATCAACTTTTGTTTCACTCAATGCATTAGATACTTAAATGGAAATGTACTTACTGCTCTTTTTCTGGAACAACCTGTAATCCAAGGCACAGTAAGGTTTCCTGAAATCTGCAGAGGAGAAGGAGGAAACAGAACAGAAACAAGAGCAGCTTAAGTTGCTGTGAGAGCCAATACTGAAACTTTAGCACTGTGCATTCAATTCTGACACCAATGTCTGTAAACAGGTTAAGACTGAAAACCAAAGTCACAGTCACCTTTACTGCCAAGAGTAAAACAGTTTCTTTGGTGAGGGCAAGATAACACAGTGACAACTTGGGTGTTTCTGTACCCCAAAACTTGTACTTCACAACAGCAGTTTCCCTTTCCATCTGGCAGGATGAGCAGACTGGAGTCAGACAAGGGCTGCCCTTCCATCTTTTCCAATTACATCACTTCAACTTCCAAAAGAAATGCTCTCATGTTTTCACTAAGCCGTTCAATGTCTCACGTTAAAGATTTGAGTACCAGCAGAAGAATTAGGGATATCAGGATGGAGAAGGAAGGAGAAGGGGTGCAAAGGCAAAGGAGAGCTGCTTCCATTCCTATTGCTTCTCCATCATTCCTGAAGGTCAGACTTTATTAAATAAAAATCTCAAGAGTGTTTTCCCTGACCATCTGAGGTGTGTCATAGCCTGGAATATTTTAGGCTTATTTAAGATCCCATATTCATCTTCTGCTGCAGACAAGTAATGCTTGAGAGACTAAACACAGCTCTGGAGAGATCAATCATCTGTGAGGGAAAAACCTGTGCACTTCTGCTGCCTGGCCAAACTGCTCTGAGAGTTTTGGTACTTGCAAAGTGCTTCACTGATGGCTCTTGCAGCATGAGCACAACAAGCACAGCAGCCCTGGTACAGGTGGCTGCTGTACAAGCACATAAACACTTTTATTCTTCAAGCTTTTAGCTGGAAGCACTTGGAGGTCACCCAAGGTCAGACACTTTCTCATTACAGCACGAAGAGGGTTGAGTGGGATGGAAAGGAGCACCCTCCCCTCCCAAAGGCCAGCCTGCATCAGGGTTTGAGCCTAAAATATTAATTCTTCACTGCATACACACATTTTAGAAATTCTGTAATGTCTGTTAAAACCCTATATCCCACACAACAGCTTCACACCACAGAATCCACTGAAAAAGCACCCTGAGGAACCACCAAGGTGGCTTCTCTTCACTCATTTAAAGGGGGCTTAAAAAAAAAAGTGCTTTTATATGGGAATAAAGCAACATCTACCTGGCAGAGCGTTAAGGGCTGCTGGGAAGACAAATGCACACAGTTCTGACAGGGATGAGGCCAAAACCAGCCAAGTGCATCTCAAGAGAACTCCCTGGAAGATAAGGTGCATGGCACTGTTCTGAGCTGCCCTTGGCAAACAGGCACAAGGGCTGGGCTTGGGAACAAAGTAAATAAAAATACAGATTTCCAACAGTGTTCTTGTCCCTTAAGGCTGGGGAGAGAAACCAAGACTAAATCCCAATTCAGCCTGGAGGACAGCACAGGTAACCTCTCCACTCAACACAGTCAAAGTCAAACTAAGCCAAGCAAGTAGGCTGAAGAATTTGTTTACTGAAACTGCTCAGGCATTAAAATTGATCACTTAATTAAATTTAGTCTTAAGTTACACTAACATGAATTTGATTAATTGAACCAGTAAGGAAGCTATAACTAATTGCTAATTAGATACCCCACCAATATATGACAGTAATTACTTCATCAAAACATGAATCACACAGTCCTGACTTTGAAGAAGCATCTGCTTGGATGTTCGACTACTCCAATAATCATTTAGCTCAGGTTTAATCTATTTTTAAATTCAAGAAGATTTCCCCAAGTTTAAGGATTTTCATCTCTGTGCTGATGGATAAATTAGCTAAACATGGGCAATAAAATTAACATAAACTGACTACAAAAAACTGAAGTGTCATCCTGTACAAACCTAAAAGGATTCAAGGCAGCACCTTAGAAAGTCTCTAACAGCCAGAAGTGTCACCTCAGGGGCTCACAGGGTGCATGCTCAGAGCAGTAAGGGAATTAACAGCATCCTGCTCAGCTTTTCCAAGGTTTAAAACTCTGGAATGATAAGGGATATGACAGAAGCTCCCTCCATCCACACTCCAAATCCAAAGAGCAGGCATGGTGGTCAGCTGGGGTACGGATGAATTCCTCACTTACCAAAAAACCAGGTGTGCTGTTACAACAGGGGGAAGTAAAAAAAAAAAACCCAAAACAAAATTCCAGAGGTCTTATTCTGATCCATAAAACACCACACAGACAGATAAAATATCATCTACCATGAACTGTTCTAGCTCTTCAAAAAGACTCAGTTCCTACCCCATAAAACCCCAAAACAAAGTTACCCAAAATTTCATTAATAAAATAAAATAGAAGAAATCAATCTCTCTGATGCTTTTTCAAGAGTGAAATAAAGCACCATGAGCACACAGTTGATGGAGGCATCAGTAATGGATTTCCCTTCATGAAACTTTATAAAATGTCCTTAATTCAATTGTAAGCACTTTTAGCAACCCTTTATTGGACTGATCTGCACAATTACAGCTTTTCGTCTCCTGTGAAACTGGGATGGCAAAAGTAAACAGCATTTCAGGAATTCTATAATCAAGTAAGAAAAGTAACAGCAAACACTGAGAGACTGTGTGAGAGTAAAGGAGAGAACAGCCCATCTGATGTGCCATCTACTCCCCAGAATTTACTCTCTGTTCATCAAACCTCTGGTCTACTCAGAGAAGTAATAATTCAGGTGAAAAGTGGCACTGACTTGGACTCAGAAGCTTTCCTTCAAATGGTAACATGAGATAGGAACAAGTCAAGAAAAAAAGAAAAGAAAAATTAAAAAAACTAAAAAACCATGATTCACAAAGTCTCATTCTCTACCCTGGTGAGCAAAGCACAGGAAAAGCTGATATGCTGTCAACATGGTTTATTTTCAGGAGAAATTAAAAAGGCAGTAACAGGCAAATGCATGCAGGTGACACACACAGAATCACATCCTGTCAGCCTTAAAAGACTTCTACCTCAGTGTCTCCAGGCTATGTCATGCCAGATGGTGTAAAAATCCATGAAAAACGCCAATTTGGATGTTTCCTGCACAAGTATCCCTCCCCTTTTAACACCAAAAACTAAAAAAAATGTGTCAAGTGTTGCAGTTTCTCCTAAACATCTTTTAGTTCTTCAATAATCTGCATTTAATTTCCCCTCAGTATCACTAAAGGGATTTTAGTACACGAAAAGGAATAAAGGGATTGAATGTAAAACTGATTATTTGAATTAGATGCTGTGGGAAAGGAAGCTGAGTTAACTCCATCACAGGGGATCCTAATCCCTGACAGAACACACAGACTGCCACCTGCACAGAGAGTACAGGATTCCAAGCTGACATCAATGGGGTGAGCAAACAGCATGAAACCATGTCTTGTGCCACATGTGATGTGTGTCCACAGGGGAATGCCCAGGGAATGGCCATGGCATGTGCTGGAAAGGCAGGGCAGGACAACACAGGCCTGAGCAACCAGCTTGTGGGTATTACCCTCCTGCAGCTAAAATTTAGCTCTGGAATTCAAGAAATCTTCACTGATCTTCAATATATGGCTACCAGAGGCTCAGCTGGACAGGCAGAAGTGCTACCACACCGCAGTGCTGCCTGCACTGGGTTTGAGAAGGAATTACCTCCACTGAAAGTCACAAAAGGAGCACAGCCTGCAGAAAGGTGAACCTATTGCTTAATAGCTACCAACTTTGAAACCAACATTTATCTACAACCTCGCCTTTGAGGTTTGAAGACAGAGATAAACTGATGGATTACCTGGTAATTATTTTGGTTTTGTGACAGCCTCAGTTGACTTGAAGATGTAAAATGAGGAGAAAAGGTACTTCTGGCTGCATTGGCAGGGTTATAAATCGTGCTGGATGTTGTGTGCAATGAGGTCCGTGCAGGCAGGTGGAACTCTCTGCTGTGGTAGAGGAGATTGTCAGGCACATCCCTGGCACCGCCCGGCTGTGCCCCACAGCCCCCGCTGCGGCCCGGCGCGGCCGCGCTTTGGTTGTCCCCGCGGCCGGAGCCGCTGCCCTCACAGTATCTGGAGTAGCTGTGGATCTGCGCTCCCATGGAGGCCAGCTCCTCCTCGCGGGCGTACTCGTCCTCCACGTCGCCGGTCTCCATCGCGATGGACAGGCAGCTGCCCTCCGGCGAGGGCTGCTTCTGCGGCGCGCTGCCCGCCACCAGCCGCTGCGGCTGGTCCGTGACGGCCAGCGAGAACACCTCGCGGATCTCCAGGTTCTGCGTGCCACACGCGGGGTCCCTGGGGTGAGCCCTCGGCCCGGGGGGCACGTGCGACGCCAGGGCCGCGGGCTCGGGTTTGTGCAAGCGCTGGCACGCCAAGGGCTCGGCCCTGCAGGGCCTGTGGAAAATCATGGGTTTCTGAGGTAACACCAGCTCCGCCGTCTGCACCGAGGAGCTGCCGTAGCTTTTCTTCGTGTGACTGTAGATGGAGTTTGCAGAATTGAGCACGCTCGTTTGCCTGGATAGAATAATGGTCTTTTCCCCCACCAAGAGGGAAGCGTTTTTACAGTGGGGTACCTGCCGTCCCAGAGGGATGTGCTGCTGCTGGAAGTCTGCGTCGCTCTTGCCCGGGAGCCGGGGGATGGAGGTTTTGTGCAGCTCTGCCACGGAGGCGTTCGTGTGCTTGGAGGCTCCCGGCCAGCCCGAGGATCTGGCCGGGCTGTAGATACCGGTCACTATCACGTCGTTGTTAGAAGAGGTCCAAGAGGATTGCTGGCTTTGGGATCGAGCAATATTTACCACATTTTTCACCGCTGCTTCTGGGGGCATGGAGGGAGTGGCAGGGGCAGTCGCTGGGGGGGTGCCCCCAGATTCCACGGCGATCTTGCTGCTCATCTTCCGCCGCTTGTTGCCAACCCACGTCTTCAAACAAGACAGCAATGACAACAAACACAAAATGAGGTGTCAAAGAGGCAGAAAAAAATTAGCAATTCCATTTTTAAGCAGGTCTGATGACATGTTAAGTGTTTGAGTTGAGATCTAAGTTTACAAATATGTAAATCATGTACTGATTATGCAGTGAACAAGACAGGGTGGAAATACGGGCCTGAACAATACAGGGTACAGATGTAGGCCTCTCCTCTTTGGGATCCACAATTCAAACACAGGACAACCCCAGCCTCAATTCCAAAGCCCCAGCATCTTAAAAATCCTGACACTCTCATGCCTCCTGTCTTGAAGTTACCCTCAAGATTTATTTCATTGACACCACCATGACTTACTTCATACAGGAAAAAAAAAAATCCTTGCCATACACTATTCTACTCTACTAATTTTTTGTCAAATTTTACAAAATATCTAATTTAAGGCACAACTTGTAACATCCAGTAAAATGTCAGTTACTGGTCAGTTTTGCTCCTGCTGAGAGTCCCATTCTCCTGACCAATCGTATTTAAGGAATTCATGTGTTTATTATAATCTCATCTTCAAATGCCAGCTGCAACTCAAGTATCATTTTGCAAAGAATTAATCACTGACAAAAAGTTTTATAGGATAAAAAGAAAAAAAGGAAAAAAGGGGGCATTAGTAGAAGCAGAAATTATGAGTGTAAAGAAGAGAAAGGTAAGATCATGCTATAATATGAGAAATGCAGGACAGACACTGGATCTGTTTCCATTGCACTTCCTAAATAAGAAAACGTTTAAGAGCTGCAAATCAGGGCTCAGAAAGAGAAGAAAACAGAAGGAATGATACTTGATTGCAGGAAGGGAAATGGAGAGGGAAAGGAAACATGAAGATGGAGAGAACTGCAAGGAGAGGGGAGCTGGACTGCCTCCTCTAGGACATTCAATCAGCACAAAAATAGCAAACCAGCCCTGGCTGCACCATCAGCATCCAGATTCCTGTTACAACTGCCTGCCTGCCCCAGGAGCTTGAACCCCTGGCTGACTTTCACAGCTTCTACCACCTCCAGCTGAGAAAGTAACATTTAATGTTTCCAGAGTGTTCTGAGGGAGGGGAATCCAGGTAAGAATTTGGGAGCAGCGTTGTTACTGTCAATGTGCCACTGTTAAACCAATTAAAAACCAACCTAGACTGATCCCACTTGCTCCTCCTCAGCCTCCAGTGTCACAGCACCTCCTGGGAGTTCCACTACCCTTTGTTATTTTTCCATCCAATGCCTCAGGATTTCTATTTCTGCTCTCTCTCGGACAACAGCCATTTTGTTGTCTAGTGTTTCACAAAGAGATTATTATTTCCCTTTCCGTGGAATTCATAGACTCTGGAAGAGCTCCTGTTAGCACTGGGACATTCTTGCTTTATAGGAAAAGAATGTCCTCACTGTGAATAGCCACAAAGGACCACAATATTTATGATTGTGATGTGGAATACAAGTGTGACAGAGTGATCAAATGAAATAGTTCCACCAAAAAGAAATTGTTTCTCCCAAATATACGAATTTATAGAAACCTATTTAGCTTAAAAATAGTTTCTTAATAACATGACCTTGCTCTGATATAATACATCATACAAAGTTTCTATAGGACAAGCCATCCTATAATTTAATAAATAATAACTTTAAAAGTCCCAACAAAAGACAACAAATATCATTCCTTGTGCAACTCAGGCCCCTGCTAAATTCAACATTCATGTGAAGATATTTCAGTGAAAACAAACTCTAAATAGGCTCGCTGGGTAAAAATAAATGTCACGTGCACACACATACACACACTGAAATCTGATTTAAAACAAGGATAAAGTTAGAGACTCAAGACTCTATATTTTATGTAAAGCAATAAATATGTATGCTTAACAAATTTGGAAGGCCTCAGTACTTACCCTGACCACGCTGAAATCCAGTTTAGTTTCTTGTGCACACTGTAATATGAGCTGAAAGCAATTTTTACTTTGATTTGTCATTCCATTTTCATAGTAACGCTGTAATATCCTTTGTTGCTCTACAGTAAATACAGAACGCACATTCATCTGAAAGGAAAAGGAGATACTCTGAAAGCTGGGCTGGAAGCTGTAACTGTGCAGGAGGCACAGGCTCTCCTTTGTGCCTGTGATAATGCTGAGGACTGACTTGTTTTCTCTACAGAACCCTTTACCAACACTCTTCTTGACTTTCCAAGAAAGCCTCTTGCAATCAGCGTTGTGTCAAGCTGAACAGGTGAACTGGATGTTTGGAACAACAGTGACTGCTTTTCACAAATAAATAAATATTACAAGATATTCCTAAGTCCATGAGGCTTTAGTTAGAAAGAAAAAGTTTCTCTCTTAAAAATGTAAATTAAATAAAGGCATTAAGCAAAACATAGAAACATCTGCAGCTCCAATATCAGCGGGTCTGTCTCCCACTCCTAACAACAAAAAAAAACAGACACAATCTGGTATAAAATCAAGGTGGCTGACACAAGTAAAGTTTCCATTATCTCCAACTTCAGCAATTCCTGCATTCCACAAGAGCCAGCTCTGCTGTGTCAGTACTAGCACTGGAAGTCACCAGGATCAAGGACCAAAGACCAATTTGGGGGAAAGCCCCCAAGGAAGGGCTTTGGGCAGCCCTGGTGCTGCCCACCCAGTTTACCAAACATTCACTTCAGGGAGGGACACCGGTGTCCCAGGCTGAGAAAGGTTCTGCTGCTGTGATACCCCCTGAAGGCTGGAAATCTGGATTTTTAAGAACATGGAAAGGTTGTTTTCCTGGGATATAACCAATGCTAGCTTCAGGACCCTGGGATGTGTTCCTGCTCCTTGGTTTCGTCCAAAGTGGTGCTCTGTAACAACAGCAGTGAATAACAATGGGCATAACACTTCAAAGTTCCAGCAGCAAAAATCCCACTTTAATGTCACAGCCTATTTTTATCCAGTTTTCCCAGTTATCATGTTTAATTCTAATTGGTTAAGAACTTTCTTGCAACTCAGTTCATTAGTTAGATGGTGCTTGTGTGTGAACAAACAAAGGCTCTCTCTTTACACAGGTGTTTACATTTTTTCTTTGTGGATTCTCAAGGCATAGACTTCTTACTTTTCACAGATGCAAACTGCCTTCTTGCAAGAAGAGATTGTTATGCAAACTGATTCCTATTCTTACGATTTTTTTCTCATGGGAACTTAACAGGCTAGCTGTTAATTCAGCTGAAACTGCAAGGCCTGATTTTACAAGGCCTTTCTTTTATAAGGTTTTACCTCTATGCAACAGTGCTCAGGATGTCAACCAGATAAGGGGCCCTCCCTGGCCAGCAGCAACTCCTCAGGTCAGTCCCCAGCACTGGGTCCCCCTGAGTTTCACTGTGAGGACACAGGAGGTGGCCTGGACAGGGCAGCACTTTGATGAACACATTAAACCAGACACTGCTTTGTTATGTGTGCAAATTCATGCCCTGGCTTGGGAAAGGCAAACAATATAGCCAATATTATCAATATTACCAAGTGTCCTGACAGCAAACTGGAGCTTGATGCACTTGTTACACAATCTACACAGGCAAACAATGCAATCCTCTGGGGAGATATCAGAAAAGAAGACCCTCATCATCACAGATTTCCAAGGCAGGGCCTTTTTTTGTCCCAGACAGGAAGCCACAGCTGAGACAATGCAGGAACAGCCTACAGCCAATGTGGTGCCTCGGGAAGCAAAAACGTCACCAGCCACAAGTTATTTTAATGCAGTACATGAATCACAATAATACAGAATGAACCAAGGACAAGAAACCTGCCAACATCCAGTAGGAAAATAAAGAGGATAAGGGAATCCTTTGTGGCCAAGCATTTTTGAAAATTCTGAATGGAAAGGAGGAGAGGGGAGATCTACCTAATCTTTGCACAAAAACTGATTCTAATATAAAGCAAATAAAGTTATTAGGAGCTCAAAAGCATAAGCAGACATCCAACTGCTTTCACTTTATTCTCCAAGATGATTATACTATGTAATGGTAATGCATGTTAAGAGTTCAACAGGCCTGTATAAAGAAAGAGATTGATATCTAGAATTTGGAGTAAAATGCTTGTAGGCCAGAGCTTTGACTTCAGAGTTTACTTTCCTCTCTATGTCAACAGGCAATAAAAAAATGAGTAATTACCAATTTGTAAAAATTACGGTTTCTTTGAAATAACAGATAAAATAGAAGATGATTTTTCAATTACATTTTTTACCTCTATTCTCAACTCTTATTCCTCCTCCCTATCCAGTGCATTATTAAATGCAATACCAGCTGCATTACAAGTCAGGTTTGCCCAAGTTCTGCCTCCCCATAACATTTACACAGTCACAGCCAGAGCTGGCCAAAGGAAACTCTTGCTCTGAACAATCTACTCCTTAAAGAAATTTATAGCAAGCAACAGAGGAGACAATTATTAGTCCATTAACAAATCAATAAAGTTCATAATAATCTACTTTCTCATGTTGAGAACTGCCTTCAGATCTCCCATGTGGATACACAATGACAAGGCCATGGAATGATTTACATCACTTTGAAAGAACATAGAAGAGTTAATGTTGTGTTTCCTTTTCCTCCCGCACGATTGGCAGGACCCAGCTTCCACTCCTCTGTCTACTCCTCTTTCAGTACCAGTGCTCCTGTTTTATTGAGTGGGGCTCAGTTCCCACAAATGACCTCATCAGAAATAGTTCATCTTTCCTCTTTCAATAGTTCAATTTCCATCTTTCCAGATCCTGCTGACGTCACCCCAAAGCTCCAGCATTTCCATACACAGGCTCATCACACCATGCTCTCCAAACAGTTCACCAACTGCACTGAAGACTCTTCCAATGGCAAGATAAATTTTTAAAGCCAGACCTGATGACCTGGGAGGGAGGACCTGTGTCAGGTCCTTGACACGTTTTTTAATTATGTGGATTTCTGTATCCAAGGTCACTTCTGTGTTAAAACACTTTCATTGTTGCATTTGACATCTGTAATTGAGATAAAGACAGGGTGGAGCATTTTGATTAAATCACTTGAACTTCAGATAAACCCTTGAGCACCGCATGACAGGTTTGGCCCAGCTAAGATCAAGAGAGGTCATGCTCTGCTTTAATAACTCATTTTTACAGTGCATTTTAATCACTCATGAACTCCACCTGCCAACCAAAGTCCTGGTAAGATTCCTTGGTAGCCTCTGCCTTGAATCCAGTAAAGCAGAGCTCAAAGGATCCCTGCAGATACCATTAGAAACTGATTTAAATAAACAGATTACAGAATTCTCCAGCCACAGAGTTATGAGCTGAGTCATAACTGCAGTTTACATTCCAACATCTAAACCTTCAAATAAGCAGGTGAGATTTATTAAAGCTTCTTGTGTCATGGATATACCAAACCCTCAGTCAAAAGACAGTTCTGTACCATCTTCCACCAATTTCACACCAGTGGCAATATTCTGTCTCTGGCAGGTTCAAAACTCTTTGATTAATATTATGTCACCTGTAAAATGCAGATGGAAATCAGTTTGCTATCAGCAGTTCTTAAGGGCTGATTCTGAATATCTAAAACAGTAGCCTGTATTGAATAAACCAATTGATAGATGTTTGGGAGCTCTCTTGGAAAACCACAGAGTCCAGAGCCATCCCATTAATCCAGGAAGAGCTGGATTATCTCTGCATATCCCACCTTCACAGACAACAAGCTCTGCTCACTGCTTGAGCCTGTCACACCTGGGAATTTACCACACTGAGTATTCACACAGCTGTGAGAACATAATGTTACTGTCTCTGAGACAAATTAATACAGGATATGTTCATTAAAGAATTACACTGATTATTTTTGGGGAAGTTTTACATGTCCAGCATCAGTTTTCATAATTAGAACAAGATCATGAGCTCTTACATTTTATTTTAACACAGGAAGTAACTTGCAAAATGCTAACATTACTGAACATTGAGGCAGCCACATCAGTGTGAAGGGAATGAGGAGGTCACACACTCTCATCACAGACTGTTATTCAAAACAACCACAGGAACTTCCAAGCAAATAAACTCTTTTTCCCAATCTGTGCACCTACAGAGCACTCCAGACTCCTCAGGATTTCTCACCTTTGTCTTGAACCTCAGACTCCAAGTTAGAAATCCACATGGATTTTTATCATAATTTCATTTTGATCTTGACTTGCCAAGCTTAGCAAACAAGCCTGTGAGCTTTTGGGAAGCCGAGTGTCCAGCTGGTTGGCAACACATTGGCACTGAAAAGAGAGTTTGTTACAGAAAAGAACTCTGTGAAATTTAATAAAAATCAGGTAAAGCATTATGCAAACAAATTCTATGAATGTAAGTTGAATTCTCACTTTAATGAAAGATGGAGGTGGCAAAGATGTATTTAAGGATTCAACATCTGCCTGCTCTAATAAAATAAAGCAGCCTTGGCCAGGTGTGTTGGTGTCTCTCACAGTGCAGAGAATAACCCATGACAGCTAAAAAAGCAGATTTTCCAAGGTTTCCCTTGCCCCTGCTACTTGTCCCAGGCCAACCGACACTGGTAACTCTGCACTCCCATGGGGTCTCCCACCCCTCAGCCTGCTGTGAACCCAACAATATAAAGATGTTTTTTCACTGCCTTTCTGAACTGAATGCTAATTTAAAAATCTGTTCATTGTAGGATCCCTCTGCTGTGTCGTAGTTTGGGAGGTGTAAATGAAGTCCAAGTGCTGTCAGGCACTGGGGACACTGGGAGATCCCAGGGTGGACACTGAAAAGGACAAAGAAAAATGGGAAATCCATGGCCTTCAGTTTGTCCCAAGGACAGTTCCATGGACCGTCACCAGCTCCTCAGCAGATGACACTGGGGTTGTTCTTACAGCTGAACTTTTTGAGGCTTCTTTAGTGGTTTGAACAACATCTGCCCAGTATTTCCCTTCCATCCCTCCTCTGGGAAGAGTGAGAATTGAGGGGACAGCAGGCAGAGCTCCAGCAGAGCTGGCTCCTGAACCCTTGCTTTGCCTCAGGAACAAGTACTCAGTGCATGATCCCAGTGCCTGCTGCAAATCCAGCCCTTCCACCCCAATTACTTCATTCAACATTCCAAAATCAGGAATCTCTCCGGGGAGACCTGGTGAAGCCAAGTCATTCCTTTTTAGCAGTTAATGGAAACAACTTCATGTCAAGGAGTGCCACAAAAGAATGACAACTATAAGGAAATGGGGGAAAATAATGTAATCAAATAATTCAGGGGTTACTGAGCTGATCTGCAATTACTTGAGAGATCTGGGGGGAAAAAATAAAGAAAAGATAAAGGAGCAGCATAAGGAAAAAAACACAATTTCTCCCTACAATGCACAGCAGTACGATCTTGGTCTCCTAAAGTCCTTAAATGTTTGGATTGCTGAATCAAGCAAACATTTACAAGTCTTTATACTAATTAATTTGAAAAATAGGAAAAACCCATAATTATACTCACTTCAAACAGCAACAGAAACTAGTCTTGGGTGTCATATAAATAATAAATAAATTCATTAACTCAAGAGTACAAGTCACCAGGAAGTAACTAAGTATAAAAACACTTATGGTATAACATATTCTAAAACTGTCAGGGATTAACACAAAGTGATAAAAAGGAACAATCAGTTTTTGAGTTTTCTTTTCTAACTTCAGCTCCAAAAAGGCATTTTCTTAGGAAAAAAGTCACCTTATAAAGACTATTTCTGTTTTAGTCTCTCCATCTGTAAGAGGTACAAGAAAATCGGCACACTCCCAATTTATATTTTTTATTTTGTTTCTTCCACAGATCTCCAGTGGCAAAAAATAACAAGTCTTAGTGCCAATATAAATCTGAGACAAAACTGGAACTATGGTAAGAAAACTACTACAGACATAAATAAAACCAGACTGTAGTAGTGACACTATTCCTCCAGCTTTAGAAACTTGAACTGAAATAATCTCATTCACGTTCCAAGGCTGCCAAAACCACAATTTTTTGCACATCCCAAATGGAAAGAAAACAATCAACCAACCAAACCCCCAACTTACACACTATGTGGAGATACTGGACACACATCAAGCAACAACCTTTAATATTCTGATTTTTTAGGTTGGTGCCTCTTTCCTACACAGGCCAAACCACTGAGTCCAAGTGCAGCAGATGAGGCCAATGCTTGAGTGAGTGTAATGTACACACCAGCTTGTAAAACTACTTTTAAATATCCGTGACTCGCAGCATAATTGCTTCCCTCTCCACTAAGTACAGCGTTTGTAGGATTGTATTACAGCCCTACCTATAAAATGCAGCCCTTTATTAGGGACAAATTAGACAGCCCTCAGTAACTTAATAACATAATAACCCATGACCACAACACTGCAGGTTTCTGCATCCCATCCTGCTTTATTGATGCAAATGAGACTCCTGACTGCAGCTGGATTAGCCACGTGTTTTAAATAAAGCATGTACATGTTTTGTAAGACCTGTGTCAGAAAAAGGAAGAAACATCAAAATGCAGTGCTACTCTGAACATGTGAGCTGCTTCAGGAGTCCAGCTGGGAGGACACATACTTTAGGTGAGTCATGTGTGTTCTTATCCACAGAGTGAGAAACCCCAGGATAAGGGGGGACAGGGCTGGGGACTGCTCGGGCAGGTGAATGCCACACAAGCACTTCAAGAGGTGAGACCTCCACAAGAGCACAGCCAAGGACACGTCCTCTTCCTCATCCTCAAACACCTGAGGGATCAATGCGTGGCAGAACAAGGCCCCCTGTCCAACCACAGCAGGCTGGTACCATGGAATCACAGATGGGTTTGGGTTGGAAGGGACCCTGAAGTTCATCTTCTTCCACACCCCTGCCAACAAAGGCACACTGAGCCACTGGGGACACCGGGCGCTAAGGACTGAGGCAATCCGTGACACAAGAGAACACAGCTTTAAGTTTTGCCAAGGTAGGTTTAGGTTGGACATTAGGAATAAATTGTTCATGGAACGGGTGATAAGACATTGGAAGGGGCTGCCCAGGGAGGTTTGGAGACTCCATCCCTGGAGGTGGCACTCAGTGCTCTGGGCTGGGTGACAAGGTGGGGACCGAGCACAGGTTGGACTCGGTGATCTCAGAGCTCTTTCCCAACCTCAGTGATTCAGTGATTGAGACACCGGGGAATGAGGAAATTAGCGATGACAGCACCTGTGCCAGGGGAGGTTTGGGACCGCCATTATAAACAATTCCTCCACAGAAAGAGCGGTCAGACATTGGAAGGGGCTGCCCAGGGAGGCGGCAGAGTCCCCGTCCCTAAGGCGTTTAAGGCAAGGCTGGACGTGGCACGGAGTGCCGGGGGCGGTGATCGGTAACAGGCTGTGCTGGGGATCCCGGGCTGTTTCCCGGGCTCTGTCGCCGCGATGTTTCTGTCACTGTCACGCTGCCGTGACGGCGATGTTTCTATGGCAGCGACACTTGTGTGACCGCGATGTTTCCGTGCCCGCCACTGAGGCACCCGCGGCTGAGGGGCCGCCGCCGGGCCCGGCGCGCACGCGCAGAGCGGCCCCGCCCGGCGCACGCGCGCGGGCGCTCCCCTGGCGCGCGCGGAGCGGCTGCGCGCGCACGCGCAGTTCCCCCGGCGGCTCCCGGCGCGTGCCCGCCGCCCCCCCCCCTCCCCCGCTCGGGGCCGCGCCGGGGGTGGGGGCGGGGGGAGCAGCGGCGCCTGCGCGCGCCGGGCGCGTCCGCGCGCGCGAGCCCGCGCCGGCCTCCCCCCACCCCCGCCGCCGGGCCCGGGCGGAGGGGGGGCATCGCCGGCATCATCATCACCACCATCATCACCATCATCATCACCACCATCATCATCATCATCTTCCTCCTCCTCCCCTCCTCCCGCCGCGCCCCTCCCGCTCGGGGGCCCCGCCGCGCTCCCCCACCCAGGGTGGGAGGCGGGGGAGCTCCCCCGCGCTTACCGTGCAGCGCGGGGCCGGCGCGGGGGCTCCGGGCTCGGCCGGGCTCGGCTGGGTCGGTCCCGGCGTCACACAATGAAATCAGCGGCCCCGATCATTAATTCTCATCATGATCGTGACGTGCGCGCAGACAGCGGCCAATGGCGCGCTGCGATCAGCGCGGCCCGCGCGGCGCCCGCCCCCGCCGCCCGCCGGGGGGGCGCGCACGGGAGCGCGGGCAGCGCCGGCCGACGCCGCGGCCCGGCCGCAGAGCCCGCCCGGAGCCTTGGGCGGGCCGGCCGGGACGGAGTCCGCTGTAAATGACCCCGGGAGGGTGGTGCCGGGCTCTGCCCGGGGACAGCGCAAGGAGCAGCGCCCGTCAACTACAGCAGAAGTTCCGCCACAGCACGGGGAAGAGCTCCGTTCCGTGAGGGCGTGGAGCTTCCCTCTCTGGAGGCACCCCAAAGCCACCTGGACACCTTCCTGTGTCACCTGGTGACCCCGCCTTGGTCAGGGTGATCTCCCTTCCAACAAATCCACCCAGCGATTCTGTGGGTGCCCATCCCTGTGACCCCACTGCATTCTGCAGCCTGGGCTCACAAGGAGGTTGTGCCCAGAGAAGCCCAAAAAGCTCTGCGAAGGACCAAGGGCTTCCATTTGCATCAATATTACGGCACTCAATGAATAAACCTTTTCTTTCCCAGGATGGATACATTTGGTCTGGGAAGGGAGGAAAAGCCGATGTGTCCAGGTGGGCATTGCAGGAGCTGGGAAAACAACAACCCCCCCCAACCAACCCCGGGGCCCTAAGGGGAACCAAGAACAACCAGGTGCCTCAGTGCCAGCCCTCCTCCGGGCTCCATTTCCCTTCCAAAAGGAAACCTCCTCAACAAAGGAGCAGGAGGCACACTGCTGACCCATCCTGATGGATTGTGTGGTGGAAATCATGGAAAATCACCATTTATTGGCTCGGCTGTCAGAACACTGAGAAGTCAGACTCAGATTTGAGACCTGTGTTCATTGCAAAGCCTCCAGACAGGCCATATCCCTACTCCAAGTAGTTTCCTCTGAAAGTCACGATGTTAAAATATTAAACAGGCAATTAATTTTGTATGATGCTTTAATTAGAAATACCAGTAAATATTTCTGCAGGACTGAAATAAAACAATTGCTGCTGGTTCTCTGTAGGCAGGGAGTAGACAAGCAGACAGTGTTTATGTTTATTTTAAAATTGCAAGAAGTTGTTTACATTGTTTAAAAATTTTAACACGGATTCTGAACTAGTGGTGGCGTCCCTTTGGGGAATTGGGAACAGATGATCTTTAAGGTCTTTCCTTCTGAAACCATTCTATAATTCTATGGTGTAGTAAACATCCTGGATTTAGTAGCAGAATTTTAGAGAGAGCCCCTATATTTAAACCCTAAATCTTCTGTTGTGCTGCTTTGTCTCCTGGATATGTTCCCTTCCTCTGTGTACCATCAACACTCGCCCTGTAAAACTTAAATACAGCAACCATAAAACCTCTACACCACCACTTTTATAGAAAATAATTGGTTTGGAATTAGCTATGGAAGGATTCCTAAGAAACTTGGTATGTTTTCTTCTTCACGTTATCTGCGGCTTGGGAAACAAAAATGGTGAGACAGTCTCTCTAACATCCCTTGAAAAATACAGTGGTGTCTGATAAAATGCAGCTTATTAAACTCCTTTAAAATGGTGAATAATAGAAAGTAATATTCCAAGGGTTCTAATTTGACTAACAATGGGCTTACAGGTGCTTTTTCTATAGTTTTCATCAAAAAACTCATAGAATCGTTCTTGAAGGAGACGTGTATTTAAGTTGTCAAAGAAACCAGTTTGCAGACTTGTGGCCCCAAAAGAAGATTTGTTGATCACAGTAATGTTCTTTACAATAGAAGAGGCTGAATGTGCAAGTTAACAAAGCTGCTGCTGTTTGCAGCAGAAGAGTGACAAGCTCCAGAAAGAATCTCGTGTTATATATTTCCTTTCCTGGTAATGCCTCTTAAGGAGCCAAACCTTGAGGAAGAAAACACTATGTCAGGATGAAATAAACCAAATATTCTTCTCCTGCCACCAGATCTAAATGCTTCCTCCTTCATTAATGACAGATTTAAATTAACAGGGGCTGGCAGGTTGATCTGGGACATGAAAGGAGTCCTTCCATGGGGGAATAAGCATCAAAGTGAGGCTGTGCTGCAGCTCCTCGGTACGAGCTCATTAAAGTGAGGAGCCCAGCTCACCACTAGTGACTTACCCCGGTGTGGTTCTAGGGGCAGGGAAAGCCCTGGGGCCAGGGCTGGGGGTGGGCATTTCCTGCCGCAGCTGGGAACATCTGCATCGGCTCCCTGGATGGGAAACGATTCCACCCTCAGGAACCCAGCTGCAGGATCACACAAAGGTTCCAAGACCTTTCCCTGTTCCAGCAGCTCGCAGGTTCTCAGACTTTCAGCAGATCGTGCAGGTGAGAGGAAACTCTGTAGGGATTGCTCGGAATTCCTGGGCAAGGACTTGGGAGCTGGTGTGGGACAGCTTTGGTCACACAGTTTAGAGCAACAGCTGCTATTTCCATTTCTCTGGCTCTTTTTGGAGTCTGGAAAACACTGAGGAAGCCACAGGGGCAAACCCACCCCACTCCACAGAACCCTTTCTCAGGACAGCTTTCCTTGCTTCAGGATGCCATTGTTTAGGGGATATTTTAAAGGATGCAGCTCTAAGCCAGACCTTGGGCTCACCTATAAAGTCAGAGGGAGTGAAAACAGGATGGAAAAGAGCTCATTTTCACCTGGAAATTTTGTTCTCCACCCCACTGAGAAATTTGGCTCTGATGCTGCTCCAAGGCATGAAATCATGGGGCTGCATTGCATCAGCCAAAAAGGAACCTGGATTGAATCTGTCCCTTGTCCCCAAAGTGTCCAACTGGTGCTTGGGAAAATGTATGGAAAATCCAATGTGGAAAAACTTGGAGTTGATCTGGTGCTTGACCAAGCTCCTTTTGGGAACTTCTTGCTATCATTCATCCCGAATCTTTGATAAGTTCAACCCTCAGAAGAGATTTATTAAACTTCAGGTTCAAGAGTGGCCACAGGAAAACCCTGCTGCTCCTTTCATTTTGTTGGACAAGTGTATCAGCAGTTCCCTGAGGAGCTCCTCAGGCAGTTCTGAGGCTTTGTCCCCTCCAAGAATGTGTCTGACCATTCCAAAAACCTTGCTAAAACCAAGATATGTAATATTTACTGCTTCGTGTCTCTGCAAGGCTCCTTATTCTGCCACAAAGTTTGAATTGATTTATTATTTTAAATAACAAATATTATTTATAATTATTTATTATAATTTATAAAAATATTATATATTATTATTACTTATAATTATTGATGATTTTAAATATTCATTTGGTTCATTCCACCAAAATATGCATGTCCTTCTTTTCCTATCAATACCATTGGATTTGCAGGGGAAAAGTTGCTCTAAAAAGCAAGTTCTTGGTTTAAGTTCCTGCTCTTTCCCAGGTTTTCTGCTCAATGAACACCCAAACGACAACAGCGATGCTCAGTTTACAGAAATATTAAAAAGACACACTAAATATTGGGAGTACAAGGGTGCAATTAAAAATCTACTAAATCAGGAGGTTCCGTGTGAAATAGTGATGAAGAAAGGATTACAGTGTGTAAACCTTAGGAAAAATGTTAATATGGAAAATTCCATGCAGCACATTTTCTGCATCTAAAAGCCCAGCCAGAATTAGTGGTCTTACAAGATTTACAAATTTTCTGTCTTCTTTGAACTTGGTTTTGCCATATTAATTAAAATTATGTGTTAATCCTTACCCAGTGCATAAACAAAGCTCCCATAAACTGAATCTGTAAGTATGTCCTTTGTGCTGGTATGGAAAAAACAGCTGGTGCTTATGGGAAAAAAATGGAAAAGAGCCTGGCTGGGTAGATATTTTAAGGATTTGTTCCACTTTTTATCTTATTGGGATATTTTTAAGAAAATCGGAGATGCTGCTTCCTTGCATTTTTATTGCCTTTGATAATTTTTCGTACACCAAGCAGGAAAAATTATGAACTCGAGGAACATATAAAAATGCAATAAACCAAAAATTTATCCAAAGAGGGAGATAAATATTGTATATTTATTTTTCACCCATTAGTATTCCTAGCATAGGGAGTTTTATAATACAAAGAGAAAATTAAAAATATTTTTAAAATAAAAATGAAAACAAAACCAGGCATGAGAAAGCAAAGAACCAGGAAGAGAACTATCATTTTAAAAAAAACATCTATACAGCCCCTCATTTTGTCATTTATCTTCCCTCTACAAGCCTAATTCAATTGGTGAAATGATTCACCTAAATGTGAAGCCCAAACAATTCTTATTTCCCATGACTTTTTTAGAAAAGCAGCCAAGAAAATGTTGAGTTGGAATCTTCAAAGCGTTTATTAGTTTAGGCAGCACTTTGCTTTTCTTTGACTTGTATTTCTCCAGAGGTTAAGATGGTTTTTCCATGTGCTCAGCTCTCCCAAAATCAAACCTTCCTCTGCTCCTTCTCTTCTACCTGTGGGTGCACATTTACTCCATCTCCACCAAAGCTTGTGCCTGTCCCTCTTGCTACCAATCCTTATTTTTCTCTTCTACCCTTGACTGGGCTGAAAGAGCCTGAAAAGTGGTTTGTTTTTTTTTTTTTTTTTTCTTTTAATGTAGTGGTTGTCCCTAATCCTTTGGAATAAAAATAACCATCACCCAACAGTTCCTTCAAGTGTTTCTCCTTGCTTCTCTTACCTTGTTTGATTTAGCCAAGCTCATTTTTCTCCTCAGTCACAGCAAGCCAAACTAAAGGAAAGGTTTAAATGTAGGTTTAGTTCTAAAGGAAACAGCGCCATAAAAGCAGAGATAAAGACAAAAACTTCAGAATCAATTTTACAAATAAAACAGCAGTACAAAGCACCACATCCTCCACAGCTCCACATTCCTGTTGAAGAATCTAAATGATTCCAAGGAAATCCTTTCACCAGTGCTGAACCACAAGCACTTCCTGAAAGGAAAGCATGGAACTACTCCAACAACATTAACCCCTCTGGGAGCCCTTTGGGCGTCCTGCTGCTCCTCACATGACCTCCCAAAAGTGCAATATTAGCTAAAAATGCCAGTTCTGGCAGTGCCAGATTTCAGCAAGGAGGGAAATATGGAAATCTGTG